GCACGAATCATCTACATCAATATCTTAGGGCGTGTTTGAGTGGAAGATGTACTTAACAAAGCTGCCTTTTCCGCCAATCTCGGGAGCTACAAGTTTCATGGGCTACAATGGAAGTGTGACTTCCCAAATCAGTGTCGTTTAATATTGTTTTGGAAGCTGCAGGAGGTAACAGCTTTTCAAACAGCATAATACTTAGCCATTTAACGCACACGAGGAGTGCTGCGATCTCGAAAGCTTCCGCTTTCCAACAATCAAACACTCCTTGATATGACATAAACCCAACCCATAGTTGCGTTTCAAGTTCCTCAGTCTTTCTTGTCTTGTTAAAGCCATCAACAACGACAATGATTCGACTCAACTCAGTATGGCTATGACTAGAACAGTATGATTCTTATTGTCTAGAGTTGCCTATAAACTTTGAATTCCACACAAAAAAACACAAGGACTAGCGCATTATGGTCAGGATTAGCTCATGAATTCTGCACAAAAACACAAGGACAGTACAGTGTGGTTCTTGTTTTCTACCTTGGCACTAGAAAAAGAAAGCAAATATTCTTGCTATATCTAACACGAGTAAAACTAAATGGAAGTCAAACCGGTAATGAGACAAAATGAGAGACACATAAGTCTTCTCTTCCTACAATTTGGTAGTCCCACGAGGCACACACCAGTAAAGAAATTTAGTGTTCAAACTTCAAACTTCAAATAAAACCGTTTTCTTTTGAAGCTGCAAGATAACAAGGGGACGGCCGCCTTCATTAAACCAACCTTGTGGACCTATAAAAATGCTTTCCATAACATCTTGAACTTACTTCCCTCATTTAAATGGAGATTTAAACTACTTCGGACGGTTCAGATTCCTCGTAATGTTGCTCTTAATCAATGCCGTACATTGAAAAAGACAGGATATCTCCCCTGTTCCGTTGGAGAAGTAACTGCGTTGAGGGCCCACTGAGGCTCTATGCCGTGTCCATAAAAGCCGCGTGTTTCAATGGAAGTTTCATCCATAACTCACAAAAGAGATAATCCTTGATTTCTTAATTAAAATGGGAAATTTACGTTTATATCTCTTAATTTTATATGTAATTTTAAAGAATATTTTATTATCATATTTTTGGTTTATATCTATTTTTTATTTCTCAAAATACCATAGATCATCATTTCAAGTTCTACTACACGGTGTTTTTCTTATGGAAAAATATACAATGAGACCATTTATCTTTGGTACAAGGTGGTCACAATTAATCTGGATCATTAGATATAAAATTAGATAGTTGAATTTATTTTATTGACCAAGCTCAAACTTTAATAGAAATTTTTTCAAACCTTGTGGCACACCCAAGCTATAGAGGTGGCAATAGATCAAGACCCAACTCGAGACCTGGGGGTAGACCCAATCCGGGCTCGAGTATGGGTCTAAAAATTGGACCCGAACACTATTCGAGTCCGGGTCCGACCATATTTTATAGGTCCCAATATATAAAATATATTTAAATATAGTTAAACACATAGATATTATTTAATTTTTACGTCGGGTCTGGGTTCCACACTATATTTTTGGGTCCGGGTCTGGTGACTTTGGGTTCGGGTTTGATATCATTTTTTAGGTCCAGGTCCAACCCAACCCTAACCTAGCCTGACCTGTTGCCACTACTACCAAACTATCAAATTTCACATCGGACCCATTGCCACTGCTACCAAGCTATCGGATTTCACATAGGATAGTTGTAATCAATTTTATCATCTAGTGTCTCATTGTATACAATCCCCTTTTTTTATTTATTGAAAGATTGGTTTGGAGCAATGTTCGAAAAACCGGCTGGTCGGAACCGAAACTGGAACCGGCCGGTTAGCTCGCTACCGATGGAGTGGTGATTCCGGTTAGGTCCGGTTTTAGTGTACTAGTAAAAAAACACAGCATCCTGAAAAAAATCGGCCAATTTGGCTTTGAACCGGCTAAATTTTGACAAAACCGGCCGGTTCTGTGAAAACCAGTCTAGTCTGGCGTTATATCGGGCGATATAATGAAAAAACGGTGCACAACAAATAACGACCATTATTTGTAACCCGTTATTTGAGCACAACCCATGATCCGCCAGTTTTTGCAGCTTTTTGATGCTTTTTTCTGTCATTTTTTTGTTTTTTTTTTTGCTCAATAATTGTACTATACCTTCAAATCTTTTATAAATCTATCAATATTGAATCAAAAACTCCAAGATTAGATCGATTTTGGCGATTTTTGGTGCGTTTTTGGTGTTCTTGAGTTTTTTATGAAAAAATCGCCATTCCTTTGATTTTGGCCTGGTTTTTCAGTTTTTTTCGATAAAAAATTGGGGATTTTAATGATCACAGAAATACATCTACTTCAAGACTCCTTATTTCATTGAAATGGAGCGATTTGAGGCTCGATTTTGAGACTGAAGCAGACAAGGTAAACCCAAACCCAAATTTTTTTAATTTTTTTCTCAATTTTGCAGCTTTTTTAGGATATTTCAGACAATATTTGACAAATATTATTTATTGCAATAAATAAAGAACAATTTTTTAACAACAAAAATAAAATTTGGAGCTCGATTTTAGGAATTTAGGGTTTTTTGGAGCTCGATTTTAGGAATTTAGGGTTTTTTTGTTTTTAATGTTATATAATATATATATTTATAAAAATATGTTTTTTGTGATGAATATGAGAATATATATACACAATATTTGTGTGAGATTATTGATTGCATAAAATAAATGAACGAATTTTAGAACAAAAACAAATTTTGGAGGTCAATTTTGGGGATTTGAGGGTTTACTGAATGAAAAATAAAATTGATATTTTTATTGTGAGGATTGTTTTTAATGTTATATAATATATATTTCTAAAAATATCTTTTTGTGATGAATATGAGAATATATATAAACAATATTTGTGTGAGATTATTGATTGCATAAAATAAATGAACGAATTTTAGAACAAAACAAAAATTTGGAGGTCGATTTTGGGGATTTTTTAGGGATTTTATGGTTTATTGAA